CAATTTTTCTGTTTTCTCTCTCAAAGCCAGTGATGATAAGTGGAGCTATATTGATGTGTATTCATAGTTGAGATAAGAATGATCTTGAACAAAAAATCAACATCCTCTACCAAGGGTTCTAAAAAGTAGGATTCAAGATAAGACTTTCTATAAGAGGAAATATGATTTGGAATTAAGATAAAAGCAGTGATGACCCCCTCCACTAAATCAATCATAAAAATTTAGAATGTGGAATTAACAAATATTAAATACTTCAAATACCATGGTGTATGGATCAGTTACAACTGTAGTATAGTATATAAAGAAATTGAACATAGAATTGACTGTGCTAGGGTAGTTTTACCCAACACAGCAAGATGCTGCAAAATCAAAACATTAACCTAAAAATTCATGTTCTTAAATAACCTCTAGGCTCTAATATGGATGTCATACATAGCATCCAACTTGTTCAGAAATATCTGAACTGTCAGCTGTTTACAATTGCTTTCTCAGATCAATGATTAAAAATGACTTTGAATTCTGAATCTTGCAGATCTTTGAGAGGACCGTTCTTTATCAGATCTCATGGACCGGTGCTATAGAATTGCAAACAAAGCACTTTACAAAATAACAGGAACCGCATCACTTGAGGAATTTTCTGCAGCAGCAACAACTAAGATGTATATCTTATATAATTCAAAGGGAAAATAATGACATAATCAAAAAGTTAGGAAGGAAGCCATCATCAGTAATGGAAAAAGTAATAACAATTAGTGGACTTAATAAACCTATTTTCCTGAAAAATTGTTTTAATAGAAAGATTTTGTAAATTCCAACAGAAAGTAGCACTGACTACTTGATCAATAAATGCCAAATGTTTCTGTATAAGGAAATGACAAGTATTACCATTTAAGAGATAAAAACTGTTTAACTCTTAAAGATCACTGGATGCCCTTTACATATACTTGAGGAAGACAAAGAGCAAAATGTTCAAATCATTGTGATCAAAACCACCAAGGTAAAGATTGATTATCTTCACCTTGAAATTATTTACACTATTTACATTGTTCAGACTGGTGTGCTCATCTTTGTTGTCATATTCACAACATTTTGGATGTTGTATACTACGGCTTTCCTCAGGTGGTTGGAATTTCATGCACTGGGCTAAATTGTTCTAGTTTCACGTGCCATGCCTCTTCCGGATGTCTCTGTATCAGTTACTTCTCTTTAACCAAGTTTTTCCCTGATGTAGCCAGGTATTGAACTCACAACTCTTTGGATCAAGTCACTGAACTCAACCAACACTTTTATCCACTGGGCCATGTGTCTTTGAGGATTCATGGCCCATTGGATAAAATAGTGTAAATAATTACAATACCTCATCTCAGAAATATAGACAAACAATTGAAATGTTACAAATTCTTCTTTTATAGTGTTATTAACTTTCAGAAGAGTCATTAAACATTCATTATTGTCTGGATATGACTGCAATGTGGAACTGATTTGGGCCCCTGAAGAAAAAGGAAATCAAGAATGACATGGCCCAGGACTGTGGAGACAGAAGCACTAGGTTGGAGATTCTGGAGTGAAGCATGAGTGGCAGCTGCAGACAGTGCAAAATGAAGATGTTCTTTAGAGATCATATATACCATGAGGCACCAAGCAGAGAGATAAATATTGTTCAGACACTCAATTCTCTTTGTTTAGTTGTGTTAACAGTTTTCAGTCAATGCATTCTTCAGGACTAATCAGTGTAATCCAAGAGAATAAATGGAAACCTCTTCAAGAGAGATAAAAAAAAAGAAGCATATAAAGATAGGTGTTCACACTGTTCTAAAAACTGGTTATTAAAGTATGGCCTTCCTGAAGAAATGAACCCAAAACAAGAACAGTAAGAAAACAAAATAATAAACTTGATCCAAAATATACTCGAGAAATGCTGATAAGTGATATGATAAAAACAAATATAACACTGGTTAAGCATCTCTCATCACCCTTTTTTCAGACAAGCAATATGGCTTTCATTTCTCCAGGTTAACTGCTGATATACTGCCGATAATTGCAGAAAGTGTCTATCATACTCTAGATAAAAATGGTGAAGCCTGGGCTGTAGCATTGGACATCTCAAAAGCATTTAACAGGGTTTGGCATACAGATCTGCTTCATAATCTGAAAAGTTAATGTCCCCCAGGACAAATTTTTGAATTGATCCAGGCTTTCCTATCAAATCATGAAATGAAAGTTATCCTGAACAGTCACTTGTCTAGGTCCTAACACTTTTGTAAATATATGGGTAATAAAATATATATGGATTACAAAATTTGGAGTTTGATTCCATGTCATGGCAAGAAAAGTCAATTTAAAAGTGAGTTCTTTTTAGAACTATCACAGTTTGTTTTCATAGATCAAAATAACTACTTACCACTTGCAATGTAATGGTTTAATAGAGAGAGCACACAGAACAATTAAAATAGCAATTATAGCTCTTACAGTATCATGGTTCTTGACATTACTAATTGTACTCTTTAGTATACACTGTAAACCTAACAAATCCACCCCCCACTCTTTTGTGCTTTAACTGGCTTCTCATTGTCTGATACAATGAAGGACAATTCATTAAATAGTAAATTTACTAAGAAATTGTGTAAAAACCATGCTATAATTTTATCTCAGTGACTTTTCTGAAGGAAATTATCAGGTCTTAAATAAAACTTGTAGGGAAGACCACACTCTTCAGCTTTGGTTAGCAACTAGTCTAGGAGATGGAAAACTGAATTCCCAAAGATGGTAGTTGTTAGTTCGGGAATATGCTGTTCTATAAGTGAAGGAAAACTCTACTGAAAACAACCCTAAAATCAGCTTATACATGAGTATATATGGTATAACCAAAAGATATGGGGACAGACTAAAACCTTATGTTGAAACATAAAAGTATTTTTAAAGATAAAAATAATAATAAAAATTCTGTAACTATTTTAAACAATAATATTTTCTGCATACCAATGTTCAAAGACCAATGGGTGATTGATATTACATACAATTCTGACTTAGATGATTGACTGAGTATTGTCAGTTCTAGTAATTCTGATATAAATGATGACAAGATATCAAATTAATGCAAACAAATCATGTGGAAGCACAGTGGTTAGTGGCTCAGATTGAAGAATCAGAGAGCCAAGTTCAAATTTCAGTTAAATTCATTACATTCACCTATATGAATCTTTCTCCGCCCCCCCCAGCTATGGGTAAAATAGCAGGATAGACTGGATCCTATAGCCTTGGATGGCAACCAGAAGGAGAAGGAAACTGAATTCAAACCAGATCACACTATACTAAAGTGTGTATACATATAGTTGGGGACTGCTTATGAATCCAAATTCCCACTGAAACTCCTACTATGAATTTGCACAGTAGGAGTTTCTGCTATACACTTGGTCAACTTTCATTTGGATACGGCAGGTTCATTTCACAGAGCTGGCTCAACTAACCAGGTGAATGCTCCAACAGGTAGGATACAAAGAAATCATCTTTAAGGTGAATCACTTTGCGAAAAAATCTAATGACATTAATTTTTATGAAAATCGCTCTTCTAACTGAATGGGAAATATTATAACAATAATTAAGATAGCTCACATGTAGAGATTTCATAGATATTTCAAAATCTGCAAGAAAAAAGCCACCAAAAAATCAGATTTAAAATTGCAAACATCATAGAAAACAGATCACAAGGTGTAAAAAAAGAATTTTCACCCAATCACTGCCAGCTTGAACAAATTTTTTTAAAAAGTTCCAGTTAGTATCCCCTAAAATATGTACGAGGCTTTGCAAGAGATTGTAGTCAGTTAACTCAAAAATGCCAGGTCGCCTACACAAATCTGTCAAGTGACCCTCTCACCACCAAAGAGTTAAAGCAACCAGAGACCAAGACCCCCCCTCCACCGCGCCAACGACCTGATGCTACCGTAAAAAACTGACGAATTAAATTTTGCTAAAATATATAAAATTTCTATATTTCAGAACCTCACAAATAATGTGTGTTTTACTTTTACTTTATCAAAAGCAAAGATATAGCCACAAAAAAATCAACTTACACTTATTGGAAGTTTAATTGTGAAATTACTAAACTCTTTATAAAAAGCAAAACAAAATTCACTTTAATCTTCGGATTCAAACGCACACAAAAAAAAAACGGTAAAATAAAAAATAACAAAAATAAGTATCCGTTAAAAATAAAATTAAAAATAAATGTGAAATTAATATTTTTAATTTAATTTAAGTAGATATGCGCATAAGTTCTCTGTGTTGTGTCCCTTCTCAGAACGTTGACGATCATGGTTCTCCACAATTTCCTGTCCTTTGTAGTTCTTAATAATTTTTTTTTTTTTTGTCATCTCTCCTAAACCTTGTTCATCATCTATTTACTCAAGCGCTATAAAGATTTTTTTTTTGCTTTCTTTTTCAAACTTCGTTCGAAATAACAATCATTAATTTTAAATTTTAGTCAATTTATTTTTTGAAAGTTAAACTTTCGTCACATTACAAAAAACAAACAAACCTATTATTCCGGATCTTAATGATTTTTTTCTTTGCTTGAATGAAAATGAGATGTCTTTTATATAGTTTCTTGGACGTCTCGTTGTGGTTAAGAAGTGTAATTAGAACTAGATTCCTCTGCTTTCATTGAGTCATTGTTTCTGTCAGGTAGTTCGTTATTTTCCTAATATTCTTCCATTTCGTTTTCTAAGAGGGACATATCGGTAATAGCGAAAGTAAACTGAATATACGTAGGAGGAGTGGAAAGAAAAAAAAGCTCTACACACTTTATTGCTGAATGTTGGTTTTCTTCTACACAGAGACGGGGCAAGGGATTTACGAAATACATGCACTTCGAATGCTACGCTGCGTACACAGTCAACTGCGTGTAATTTACCTTGTTTCGATACAACCAAAAAGCTTATCTGCTTTTTTTCTTATTGTCAAAATAAACATCTGTGTACCATACAAACAACCATTTCGCCAAATTGTTCGAAGCAAAGGTAAGCTATTTTATTGTGACAGGACAATTTTCATTTGTCATTTTCTTTTATATTTCCTTTGCCTTTCCTTATGTTAATAAAAAAAATCTCTTCAGTGTTGCGTGGACATATGTGTTGAAAGAAGGATGTGTATTGTCTGAATTAAGGTGCGCGTGGCAATTCCTTTCGAAGAAAAAAGAATCGTGCTTTTTCGGTGACTGAAATAATGTGGGTACTTATTTTTAATTTACTCTAACTGGTTCGTTAGTGGATGTTTAACTATTACTATTTTAGTTCTCATTCTGCCGAGTATGGAATGGAAAGAAAATAAAGTAAAAAAAAATATTACGAAAAAAAAATTAAATTATTACTGTCAGTCAGTGTCATGTTTTCTAGTAGTAAATCATTTTTTTCCTCTCTTTCACTGAACGTAATTACACATGAATTCGCCGCTTGTCTTGTCAATGTCAACTGTAGTATGTTGCGTAAATGCACTCACTGCTTCCTTCTTCCAATATATGTATTTGAATTAAGAAATCTGCAGAGCCACACAGTTTTCTGCTAAAAGTGCTTAAAAGCTGTTTACACAAGATAGGAAAAATCCTTTTTCATATCTCACAGAAATTTTCTGTTACGTAGTTTTATCGTAAAATTCACTATTACCTAAAAATCAAATTGAGTATAGTAACTTTGTTTTTTTTTAAGTGTTTCTTTTTTTGTCTGATGGCTTGTTATGTGACGACTTATTTTTAACTCGTGTATAAGTATCTGGTACTTTAGTTGTGGATTGAATGAAACTACAAAGTACAAATAATCTGACTCTTGCTACTAGTAGTTTTTGTTGTTGTTTTTTAGTCGTAAACAGCAAATAAACGTAATACTCAGCTTGGGTGGACAGTAAGTGACATCACTGGAAAAAAAAACAAATTCTTAGACTCCTTTTACAAAGTTTCCGGTTATAAGATCCAAAGCAAATTTTGTTTAAAACTTGGCATTTAAAAGTAGTGTTTTAAAATTACCATTTTGATCAACAACTTAGAAGCCAGTTTTATAGTTGTTGTTATTATTTATTATTATAGAAAATTCAGGGGTGGGGGGACGTGTACTTCTCACCCCGCCCTATTAAATTACTCTAGTCTCCTCTTCTCTTTGCTTTCATACGGCAACTGGGTTTTAGTTTTACTTTATTCCTTTTTAAGAACATATTCAGCATTGTTTTTCAACGATCCTTTCAATTAAAGAGCATCACCCTCTCTCCCTGGCCATCTACAATTTTGGAATATTTTGTTATAATTTAATCACCTGGTTTTAAATAAATTTTGACTTTTTGTTTTTCTGTGTGGGAGACTAATTTATGTTAGATCTGTGTGTTGTCTACAAACCTTATGAAGAAACCAATCCTGTGAACCGCGTGTCTTTGTAAAGAAATAACGATCTGCGATTGGCTCGTTTGTTGAGTCTCGGCCCCCACCTGTCGGTCCCATGTTCTTCGGACCTCCCTTCTAAGTCCGTCACATTTTTATCTTCGTGTCGTGGAGGCAACAGTCGGCATTTGTCTCTTTTCTTGCGATTGAGAATTTTATCGAGCCAGCAGCTACCTTTCTTCTTTCCTATCGACATTAAAAGACACAGCAGGTAAGTGTTCTCATTCTCCAAGTATTGATTTTTTTTTTTCGTCCGTAAATAGGAAATAACGAGAAACTAGTACTTAAATGGAATTTTTTCAAAATTGTATTTTTGTGAAAGAACAAGGTTCTTAGAACAAGAACATCTATTGATTTTTGGAGGTGGGTGGGGAGATTTGGTTTCCGTTTATTTTTATTTTAATTTTACAAAAAGAAAAAGTAGAGCATTTTTTAACTTGCGTCTTTACTTTGTTTTCGTCTTAAAAAGCCTTTTTTTTTCTTTTTCTTTACTAACGGATAACTGAAACCGTGTGAGTTATGTGCGAAAAGTAAAATTAAAATACTATTTTCTATGGCACATTTTTAAAAATAAGAATAATTCGATGATTAACTTTTTTCTTTTTTTTTATATAGTCTTTTCTTCAGTTTGAAGGTGCGACTTGTCATCATTGATTTTTAAGTTTTGCCGATTAACAATCCTAAGTTTATGATCTTCAATCCGTCCTTAGCCTTATTGAGTGGTATCTTTCATTTATCATTTGATAATTTACGGGAAAATATAAAAATAACGACACTAAAGAAAGATGCACAAGAGGATCTTTTAGCACCTGTACACAGAGAAGCACTAACCACTGTTGTTTAACTCAGCGAAACTTTTGTACTCAAAATGTTTATTAAATTAAAACTACTTTGCAAAATATATTTCAAAGGATTAAAAAAAAAAATTGAAAATACCTTTAAAAAAAAAAAAAAAATTATGACCCCCATCAAACTCTGAGGAAGAGAAAAGCTTTATGGAGAAAATAATTTAACTATATCCATTGACTATTCTAATTGTAAAAATTAAATAGACAAAAACCTTTTAGAGTCTAAAAGGTTATTTTGTTAATTTTAAGTAAAATAGATTTCTTAGTGGATAAGGGACGGGGGGATCTCTATTATCAAATGGGCTTCCGCTTACAGTAATAAAATAACAATCAGTTTTAAATATTAATCACTCAGTGATTAATATTTAAAACTCACTGTTTTGCAGTGCAAAAACAGATTTGGGTTTCTTTCTTTCAAGCTAAAACAAAATCATTTTTCTTTTTAATTACATTTTAAAAATATGGTGTTATTTTGCCAGTGAAAATATTTGGGCATAGTGTATATGGGTTGCTATTATCCATAGATTTCACCATCCACAAGGTGTTCTTAGCACCTGTCCTATCTACCTTGGATAACAGATTGTATATTAAATCACAATATTGCCTCTACCACTATCACCCTACCCCCCCATCTTTTCTACTCCCATCAATTTTATGTCCGTTACCTAGATAATAAGCATAGATTACACCAATAGTAGCATGCAGAAGTGTGGGGGGGAGGGGGCGTCATCCAATTAAAGAGTGAAATAAAAATTTTGTTTCTATTTAATTTGAATAAAGGGTTTATTTCATGTTTCATCTGCTTTTACATCTTTAAAATGTCTTCTTTTCTCACATTTCTCTGTACTCGACCCCCTTCTCCATTTGAGTCTTGGGACATACACTCAAGGAGTTGGCCCTGGGCATCACCAAAGCTTTGCATATCACTGGACACAGACTATATAAAGAAGTATTCAACTTATAATGAGTTTTCAGAAAGCAATTTATTACAGCTGAGAAACTCCCAATAATCAGTAAGAAACTTTAGATAAAATATTAAAACACCTATCACTAAAGAATTTAGCATGGACATAGAAGAAATCTTAACAAAAATAGTTTGCCCATTGTATTAAAAAAGATAGTATATATAAAATTGATATTTTGCTAAATACTTAGTATTATTATGTCTTCACATGTGAGTCTATAAATACATTTTTTTTCAATTATGATATTAATATGTAATGATTCTAGGGGGATCAATTTATTACTTAGCAATTAAAAAAAAAAAACAATCCTCTACTTTATGTCCAGTAGAATTTCATATTTATTTATGCTCTCAAAAGTGATGGTTTATATGAAATTGATATTTTGTTAAATTCTTACTGTTATTATGTTTTCACGTGTGAGTCTTTAAATATATTTTGTCCAATTATTACTAGCATAATACCTGTAATAAAAAAATGACCAGATTATTTACTTATGGATCGGAGCTTAACATACAAATGACCATCACTTGAAAGATTAGTTCTCAATTCCTCTAATTCTTATGTTATGGTAATTTCTTATTTAGCTGATACATGTTTTCTTTTCAGCAACCACTTAGTGTGATTCTTGTATATCTGTTGCACTTGTTGATAACCTTGCTGACCATACACTTGAAACATATGTACATTTTTCTTACCAAACATTTTAGATTATGTGTTATCTCAATGAAGTTAAAATCAATTTGAAGAACAAATTTACTAATATTTGCAAAAAGAAATGATGAAATACAGGCTAATAATGTTTACTTAATCTCTTGTAATTAATGATTCTTTTCTACATTTATTTCTAACTAACAAGGGTACCTGTTGTTGCTCAAGAACTAATTGTCTAAATAAAGATGAATATTTTATTATTTACACTATTTATATTTTGACTATTGTCTGGGACAAAAGCATGTGTGTACTTGCAGTCAATGGAAACTGAACAGTGCTAAATAAAATGAGAACTAGGCAATATCCCTAGATATGAGCAGTGGAACAAGAACAGTCTACCCCCCATAGATTAAATAAAGGGTACAGTTCAGAATTTCCTGTAGGTTATCTAGATCAATTTTACACCTGAGGAAAGCTGGCAGACACAACAGTCAAAATGTTGAGATAACAACAAAGATGAGGACAATAGTATGAATAATGCTAATTCCTCATCCCAGAAATTCAGACAAAGAATATTTGTATAGATTATAAAAATGACTAAGGGAATTAATCACTCATAAATTTACTTACTACCCAAAGTTGATTTACCTCCCTTTCTACTAGAGAGCACGACATAAAAGATAAATAAATACACAGTGGTAATTATTATATAGTGTTGATTATTAAATATATTTATTGACCAAATGTGTATAAATAGATATGCCTGACTTACTTTTTTATAATTTTTTTTAACAGTATTTCTTAAAGAGGTTGATTGAGCATTTGAAATTTAAAAGTGAATACAGCTCCAATTCCTGTCAGTTGGACACATTTTATTTGGAAAAATTTTCCCTCTCTAGGTCTGTAGACATTAATTTCATTGTTTAAAAATATAGACATGTCAACTCAGATACATATGCTCACTAAATATAATATTTACAGTAATAAGACACAATCTCATATATGCAAAAATTTGCTTCATATTTCGTGGTACATATTTCACTTTGGTGCTGCATACATTTAGTGAAAAATAAAATCTTTAAAAACTTGTCAGAGCCTAGATCTCTGTCTATTATGTGCCTTGTCCCCCCAGG